CTTGGAACTGAAACTAAACCGTCAACGTTTACATGTCAGTTCCTTCAGTTGCTGTGTTCTTTTAACTGCATCCCACTTAGCTTTGGAAGTCTGTATTAATTGTCCCTCATCGCCGAGCCCTGCTTCATGCTCTCCTCAAGGGCAGAGTAAATAAACTAGAACCTTTCATATTGCGACATTAAAATCCCAGACTGTTTCCCATGTGCACTGTTTATAAAGAGAAGACATTTTAAATATTACTTAATAAAGAAGAGGAAGCAGTGGTTTCATTCCTACTGTCAACCAAAGTTTGATTAAAATTGAAGAATGGCTGTGGCTCACAGTAAACATGTATTTCCCTGCAAAGAGAAAATACGTATAGGAAAAAAACAAGCATATAACCCAGAGTTAGCAACTTGGGTCCCTCTGAGTCAGCGTTTCTCAACCTGGAGGTAGGGACACTTAGGGGGTTCCAGAGGGGTCACCAAAGACCGTCAGAAAACATATATTTCTGATGGTCTTTCTGATGGCTGGAGATTTCTCCGCCTGTCCTTCTCTTCCTTTTTGGAAACAGAAGGCGAATTGTCCCACCAAAAGCCCTTCTCCGCTGCGATTGGCTGTCTTCCCAGCAAAGGGGAGAGCTTTTTCAGAGACTCCAAGCAGGAAGGGGAGAGCAGACGTGCTCAACACATGGCAGCATGGTGCACATGTGTGAGTGAGGGAGAGCGTGTGAGGCTGGAGGGAGGCTCGTGCCAGCAAGTCTCTTCAGGGCATGGGGGAGTTCTGTGTAGGAAGTTTGGCCAATTCTATCAGTGGTGGGGTTCAGAGTGCTCTTTGATTGTAAATAAACTATAAATCCCAGCAACTACAACTCCCAAATGTCAAGGTCTATTTTCCCCAAACTCCACCAGTGTTCACATTTGGGCATACTGAGTATTTGTGCCAAGTTTGGTCCAGATCTATCATTGTTTGAGTCTGCAATGCTCTCTAGATATAGGTGAACTACAACTCCCAAACTCAAGGTCAATGCTCAACAAGCTCTTCCAATATTTTCTGTTGGTCTTGGGAGTTCTGTGTTCCAAGTGAACATGTGCAGACGAGGGAGAGTGTGTGAGGCTGGAGGGAGGCCCGTGCCATCAAATTTCTTCATGACATTGGGGTTCTGTGTGTGAAGTTTGACCCAATTCTATCGTTGGTGGGATTCAGAATGCTTTTTGATTGTAAGTAAACTATAAATCCCAGCAACTACAACTCGCAGATTTCAAGGTCTATTTTCCCCAAACTCCACCAGTGTTCACATTTGGGCATACTGAGTATTTGTGCCAAGTTTGGTCCAGATCTATCATTGTTTCAGTTTGCAGTGCTCTCTGGATGTAGATGAACTACAACTCCAAAACTGAAGGTCAAGACCCACCAAACCCTTCCAGTATTTTCTCTTGGTCATGGGAGTTCTGTGTGCCAAGTTTAGTTCAGTTCTATTGTTGGTGGAGTTCAGAATCCTTTTTGATCATATGTAAACTATAAATCCCAGAAACTACAACTCCCAACTGACAAAATCAATCCCCTCCCAACCCTACCAATATTCAATGCCCACCAAGCCCTTCCAATATTTTCTGTTGGTCATGGGAGTTCTGTGTGCCAAGTTTGGTTCAGTTCTATTGTTGGTGAAGTTCAGATTCCTTTTTGATCGTATGTGAACTATAAATCCCAGAAACTACAACTCCCAACTGACAAAATCAATCCCCTCCCAACCCCACCAGAATCTAATGCCCACCAAGCCCTTCCAGTATTTTCTCTTGTTCATGGGAGTTCTGTGTGCCAAGTGCACATGTGCGGATGAGGGAGAGTGTGTGAGGCTGGAAGGAGACTCGTTCCATCAAATCCCTTCAAGACATTGGGATTCTGTGTGAGAAGTTTGACCCAATTCTATCGTTGGTGGGCTTCAGAATGCTTTTTGATTGTAGGTGAACTATAATCCCAGCAACTACAAATCTAAAATGACAAACTGAATCTCCCCCAACCCCATCAGTTTTCAAATTTGGACGTTTTCATGCCAAATTGGGTCCAGTGAATGAAAAAACATCCTGCATATCAGATATTTACATTATGATTTATAACAGTAGTAAAATGACATTTATGAAGTAGCAACGAAAATAATTTAATGGTTGGGGATCAGTACAACATGAGGAACTGTATTAAGGGGTCGCGGCATTAGGAAAGTTGAGAAACACTGCTCCAAGTATTGTTGGACTGCAATTCCGCACTACAACTTCCATCCACTCTAACCAGCATGGGGGATGATGGGAATTGTAGCATAATAGCATCAGGTTGGTCACAAGCTGGCATTCCCTCGTGTGCTCCATTGCTTACAAAGTGAAATATTTGTCTTGCCGGTAGGTATTTGGTCCTACATCCTTCTTAGCCCCATGTAGAATACTCCCCTGCTGGCTTAATGGGATCTTTACATAGGTAAATCCCCTTAATGCACTGGATGTGCTCTGCTTGAGAATAACAATTGCATTCAGACTAGCAATATAGAAGCTTAGTCTGTAGCAAAAAGGTACACACTTTGGCCAGCAAGCAAACAGAGTCCTCCACGGTGCTTTTATTTCTCCTGAATGGCGCCGTGTAGTTCCCTTAACTAAGCAAACATGCCAAAAGGTATAACAAGCAGTCCTTAAACACAGAAAGCCTCCAATTCACCCTCATTGTATGGAACTCTTTCACTACCAATGACTGCACCTGCCTGGTCCAACTCATATTGTCCACTTTGCGAAGGACCATTCTATCTCCATCCCAAAATAGGAACAAAACAACACTAAGTGAACTTCCCCCCAATTTGCACACTTTTTCTGACTACTGCCTGTTCTTACCTCAAGCTTGCTGGGTTGTTGTGTGTTTTCCGGGCTGTACGGCAATGTTCCAGAAGCATTCTCTCCTGACATTTTGCCTGCATCTATGGCAGACATCTTCATAAGTTTTTGGAAAGTTGGAAAACGCAGTTTATATATCTGTGGAATGTCCAGGGTAGGAGAAAGAACTCTTGTCTCTTGGAGGTAGGTGTTAATGTTTCAATTGGCCACCTTAATTAGCATTTAATGGCCAAGCAGTTTTCAAGGTGTAGCTTCTTACTTATGAACAAAATCTGGCTACCAGTATTTTTTTAAAAAAACTCTAAAATCATGACAGTAAATAAAAAACAACATTCAAAAACAGGGGAACTCCAGACAAGAAACCATCAGGGATAGCTAATTACCTCTCAACTAAGGATTCCCCCAGGCAGTGAACGCAAAATTATTAAGAACATCAGCCCTCGCCTTGTCTTACTCAACTGCCGAGTATGCCTGCCCTGTTTGGCATAAGTCTGCCCATGCAAAGCAGGTGAAAATAGCATTGAAGGAAACATGCAGAATAATCACAGGATGCCTTAAACCTACACCTATTGATAAACTCTGTGGCAGCCGTTAGAAGAAAATAAAATAATAAAGGGAAATTATAATAGAAGATTCATGTTCCTACCTGATCCTGAAAAGACAATTTCTAATAAGTAAAATTGCAAGCATGAGAAACCTACAGATGACATTGATTGACACTGGACCATGGGTTGCTCTAGCCGATGTTTGCTCTAGCCAGTGTTTACATAGATATGAAGTCAACAAGAGAAGTTTGGCAGGACAAAATAATCAACAGTATCGATCCAAGACTTGGAACATCTAAGGTCATATGGTGAGAGAGCGCCATCCTTTGACCACTTAATATAAATAGCAGGCAATTTCAGAAGAGTTTCATCCTAAGTAAATTCCTTCATGGTCTTCATATTAAGAAATAAGTTATAATGAAGGAATTAAGGCTGAATTGATTAGAGGAGATTGCCTTGATCAATTTTTATGTTATAAGCATATAAAAGTTATAATTCAATTTGAGATTTAAGGAATTGAATATATACGTGTCATCTTAGGGTAACGGGTGAAGGTTGGGATAAGTTACATAATCAAGCAGATGGTTGGGTTCACAATGTAGCTGCCAAGACCTGATAAAGATGTTTTTGGAAACTATATATGGAAATACCTGTTAATGATTGTATTGTGTAAATGTCAGACTCTTTCTGTGCATGTGTGGAAAGAGTGATATTCTGCTATAAAAGACCGAAGCGATTCAGACTTCGGGTGTGACAGGATTTGAGCTGTTCACCCTATACTCTGCAGAGATAGTATACCTTGGAAATCGGACAAGCTGTCTCCATCTTCTTCCTTCTCCAAAAGTACTCTAACGTATATTCCGCAACAACTCTACAAGCCAGCCGACATCCCCCCCCCCCCACAATGTGTGACGGGAAGTTGCTGCTAAATGTGAGAAATAAGGTTGAACACTGTGAAAGCCACCCACTACATGGCTACCAGCCTCCTCCCAGTAGACTCCAATCAAGGGAAAGCTTTATGAGAACTACCACTCCTCTTGATGTCCCCCCAGCAACAGCAAGGGTATCCCTCTGGACAGCTCAACCAGGAAATCCCAACTGGATGCCCCCCCCCCCCCCCCCCCCCCCCCCCCGGGGCAAACCAAGAATGGGAAACTTGGAAGTCCCTGAATACACTTAGAAGTGGAGTGGGCCCATCCAAAAGACAACCTGGCAAAATGGCACGGCCTAAAAGAATCCCACACCTTGTGTCACTGTGGTGCAGAACAGACAACTCCGCATCTGTATGCTTGTCCACTATGCCCTGCCTCATGTACAGAGGAAGAATTGTTGGAGGCTACAGACAATGCCATTGCTGTTGCCCGTTTTTGGTCAAAAGATATTTAGCCACCTGCGCTCCTCTTCTATTTTTATCAGTTTTATACTAATTTATGCAATGCTTTTGATACGAAATAAATAAACCTACCTCCAACAGACAAGAGTTCTTCCTCCCACCCTGGACATTCCACAGATATATAAACCCCATTTTCCTAGTTTCCAACAGACCTCACAACCTCTGAAGGTGGCTGCCATAGATGTAGGCGAAACGTTAGGAGAGAATGCTTTGGGAACATGGCCAGACAGTCTGAAATGCGTACAACAAATGAGTGATTCTGGGCATGAAAGCCTTAGCTAATAGGGGCAAAGGCCATAATGATTTCCTTTCTTAATTTAGCCAATTCCAGAGCTAATACATCACCTGCTGAGCTTAGCTCAAAGAGGAGTGTCACTGGGCTGGTGGCCTTACATACATACATAGATATTTCGTAAATATGCCTCCATTCCCTCTCATCCCCAAGTAACATAAGACGATGAATTGCTTTTTCCACTTTGCAATGTTACCTATAGTTCCCAGAATCCCCAGCCCACAAGCCTGGTGGCTTTGTTGTCCAAAAAAGAATAACATTCCCAGATTCTGGGAACTGGCGTCAGATGCAGTTTGAGCTAGTAGTGGTCTCCGGTTCATCTCGAAATAACGGACCATTTACTAATAACTTTTTAGGAAGGATCATTGGATAGGTTGAAAACTGTGGCTGTCCTTAAACTATAGTTCACCTATTCAAATAATCCATCTCCTCTGTAATGTTTGGATTTGAATGTGGTGATCATTTGAATCCTGATTTGGATGTGAATTCAGATGATTGTTCCATTAAGAGACTGAGAGTGCTGCGTAAAAATATAGTCAAACTGATCAAAGAACTGATTGAAGAGTGGTCAAGAGAGAAGAGGAAGTCTGCTGCTTCCCTTCTCGAACGGCAGCAGACAAATAGAGAAAGCTTTCTTATAAGCAAAGTCCTGCAAGAGCAAGCAGTGCAAATGCAAGAAACGAAGGTGCCGATACAGCAGTGTTCCCATTCTTAGTGGTTTTTGCAGCAGACACTTTCACTGTTGTCGTGTTTGCCAGCCTAGTAGAAATACCTATAGTGCTGCTGGCTAAGCGAGGAGTAGACATGGTGGAATTCGTCTCCTGGTTGGATGATATTGTAGGTTTACTGATAGTTGATGTGGTATTCTTCAGGGTAGAAGCTGATGTGATGGTTTTGTTTTTTGGCAATGTAGTGGTTTTGGTGGCTAGTGGTGTGGTAGCATTCTTGGCCTGAGATTTGACGGTGCTGGAAAGAGACGTATTGTTGTTGGATGATATTGTAGTTTTGCCAATCGATAATATGGTGTGTATCAGGGTAGAAGTTGATATGGTGGTTTTGTTTTTTAGCAACATAGTGGTATTGTTGGCTAGTGGTGTGGTAGCATTTTTGGCCAGAGATTTGATGGTGCTGGATGATATTGTAGTTTTCCCAATTGGTGATGTGGTGGTCATCACGGTAGTAGTTGGTATGGTGGTTTTGTCTTCTAGCAACGTTGTGGTATTGTTGGCTAGTGGTGTGGTAGCATTCTTGGCTGGGGATTTGGTGGTGCTGGAATGAGACGTCATGTTGTTGGATGATACTGTAGTTTTACTGATTGGTGATGTGTTCATCAGGGTAGAAGTTGATTTGGTAGTTTTGTTATCTAGCAACGTAGTGGTATTGTTGGCTAGTGGTGTGGTAGCATTCTTGGCCGGAGATTTGATGGTGCTGGAAAAAAATGTGTTGTTGGATGATATTGTAGTTTTCCCAATCGATGATATGGTGTGTATCAGAGTAGAAGCTGATATGGTGGTTTTGCTTTCTAGCAACATAGTGGTATCGTTGGCTAGTGGTGTGGCCAAAGATTTGATGGTGCTGGAAAGAGACGTAGTGTTGTTGTTGTTGACTAACAGTGCAGTGGTGCCCGTTGGTGGTGTAGTGACATTGGTGACGGCATCTGCTGTAGGTGTGACATTGGTGGCCAATGCCACAGTGGTTCTTTCAACAAATCCTGTCGGAGATGTGGTGTTCTCATTGGCCAGTCCTGTGGTGGCTTCTCTGGCCAGGCCAGGAGTCGACCTGGTGTGGTTCAAGAGCAGTGATAAGGTGGTGCTGTCAGGGCGAGGAGTAGACGTTCCCATCATCGTGGTGCTACTGCTTTGGAGAGTAGTGGATACAAGTGAACTAAGTAGTAGACCAAAGGTGGTGAATGAATAGAACTTCATTGTGCACCTGTATTTGTGATAAAAAATAATGTTAAGTTTATAGTGAATTTGAGCTGCAGATTAAAAACCAGTTCAGGTCTGTATTCCTCACACAGTTATCCTCAGGACACCTGAGAACTTTCTGTCCGCAAACTTTGTTCAGTAGGTCATTAACTAAGTCCCAAGATGACTTTTGATTCTTTTCAAGCTTTTCCTGAGAAAGTGGCTGCTCTAGAGGTGAATTATAGCAATGGTTATTGGGCTGGTAATAATATACCGTATATACTTGAGTATAAGCGAAGATTTCCAGTCCTTTTTTAGGCTGAAAAGCCCCCCTTGACTTATACTCAAGCAACGTTATTTATTATTTTACTGTGTTATTATTATGATTTTATTGCATTTATTATTTTATTCTTATTCTTCTTATTATTACTATTACATTATTTTACTCTATCTATGAACCATCAAGGTTACTAAGATCTTCCGGAGGGGCCCTGCTCTCGGTCCCACCACTTTCGCAATCGCGTTTGGTGGGAACGAGGGACAGGGCCTTCTCGGTGGTGGCTCCTCGGCTTTGGAACTCCCTCCCACCAGAGATTAGATCTGCTCCCTCCCTCCTGACCTTCAGGAAACTAACAAAAACCTGGCTTTGGAACATGGCATTTGAGGATTGAATCAACAACCCTCGTCCACATGGAAGGAGGATGGTGAATTGTGACTGTGACTGTATTGACGACTTGGCTTGTTTAATGTGATGATGTTTTTATTGTACTTATATTTTAATGCGTAATGATGATGCACTGTGTTGTTTTTGTACATTATTGTATATGAACACATGTTGTGAACCGGCCTGAGTCCCTCCTTGGAGGTGAGAAGACCGGTATATAAAACTTCTAAATAAATAAATAAATATTATTATTACATTTATTATTTTACTCTATTTGTTATTATTATTGCATTTATCATTTTACTCTATTATTATTACATTTACTATTTTACTCTATTTATTATTGTATTATATTTATTATTACGTTCATTATTTTACTCTTATTTTATTACATTTATTATTTTACTCTCCATTATTATTACATTTATACTTTTACTTTATTATTGTTATTATTACATTTATCTTATTTTACTCTATTATTATTTTATTACATTTATTAGTTTGCTATTTATATTTATTATTTGAAACACAACAAGAAGAGTCCACAGCAGACACTCTGCTGGCTGTTGTATTGGATCACACGTTGGACACTTCCCAAGTGTCGAGGACTGTGTGATGTATTATTATTATTATTATTATTATTATTATTATTATTATTATTATTATTACATTTATTATTTTACTCTCTTTATTATTATTGGAAGGATACGTAAGCACATTTACAATGAACAAGTTTAGAATAATGGTTTCATCAGAGTTGGACAGTCTTATCTTTATGTAACTATTCAAAAACATTTAACCTACAGATTCCTAAGTTAATTGAATTTTTTTGATATCTATTTTTATTTTGAAATTGACCAGTAGCTGCTGCATTTCCCACCCTCGGCTTATAGAACCATAGAATCATAGAGTTGGAAGAGACCTCATGGGCCATCCAGTCCAACCCTTTGCCAAGAAGCAGGAATATGTCATTCGAAGCACCCCTGACAGATGCCCATCCAGCCTCTGTTTAAAAGCTTCCAAAGAAGGAGCCTCCACCACACTCCGGGGCAGAGAGTTCCACTGCTGAACGGCTCTCATAGTCAGGAGGTTCTTCCTCATGTTCAGATGGAATCTCCTTTCTTGTACATGAGTCAACACGTTTTCTCAGTTTTTTTAATGGTAAAATTAGGTGCCTCGCCTTCTATTCCGATCAGCTTATACTTGAGTATATATGGTAATATAAATAAGATACACAACTGTCCCCTGGATTCCTATGCCAATATCAAAAGAGAAGTGAACAGTTTTCTATGCCTCACATTCCTAAGAAAAGTGAAATCTACATGGGCAAAATCGTGTTGTTTTTGATCCAAGCTGAGGCAGAGCGTCCTCACACCTATAAAATCAGTAACAGTAAAATCTTGTGATGAGAGAAAAGGCAAAGTTGGCATGCCTAGAACTGTATGGGTTTCCACCTTTGTGAGCAACAGGTTCACCCTAGGAACATATGGTCCACTTGGGCAGGAATACTCAGTGTGCATCATTTGTTGTTGGCATTTAATATGAATAGGCATATAATTACTGTCAACACGACAGATGCCCAGCTTCGTCTGAGAGCCATCTTGCTTCGTACTATTGTGTATTTGCTGCAGAATGATTTCTCAGACGGTGGCACAACTGGCTGGGAGTCAGCTGCATAAAGATAACTACTGACCGAAAGGTCATTAGTTCGAAGCCAGCCCAGGTCGGAGTGAGCTTCCAACCTATTTGTGTAGCTTGCTGTTGACCTTTGCAACCCAAAAGACAGTTTTATTTATTTATTCATTCATTTACAGCTTTTATATTCCGCCCTTCTCACCCCGCAGGGGACTCAGGGCGGATTACAGTGTACACATATATGGCGAACATTCAATGCCAATTTTTGACATACAAACCTATACAGACATACACAGAGGCTATTTAACTTTTTCTGGCCGGCAGGGGAGCTGTCGCTTTCATTGTCCATCTGCGACGCTGATGAAGTATGTCCGCATTCCCCACATGCTTCCCCACTGAAATGCTTTGCTGGAGTCTTCTTTATGGCCTCATAAATCAGTTAATTTAGCCTCCCCACACTTTAAGGTGGTACCTAATTTTCCTACTTGACAGATCATCATCATCATCACTTTATTTCTTAATTAGTCGCTCTCCACCAAAGTGCTCCGAGCGACTTACAATTTAAAATAGCTTATACACAATATAAAACATTCAACATAAAAACATTCAGCAGTGACTATGGCAAAATTTGATCCAATTACTTAAATGCACAACCAAACAGCCAAGTCTTGAGCACCTTTGCACCTGTCTTTCGGGTTGCAAAGGTCGACAACAGGCTACACACAATTGGTTGGAAACCCACTCCAACCCAGGCTGGCTTCAAACTCATGACCTTTTGGTCAGAGTGATCTTAATGCAGCTGACACTCAGCCAGCTGCGCCACAATCCCGGTGCATCTGTCAAGTAGGAAATGTAGGTACCGCTTATGTGGGGAGGCTAATTTAACTAATTTACGACACCATAAAAATCTCCAGCAAGCATGCAAAGAATGAGGAAGTACTTCATCAGTGTCACAAATGGACTTTGAAGCAACAGCTCCCCTGGTGGCCAGAATACCCTCATCCATAAGCTGGAATGTTAAATATAGCCTCTGTGTGTCTGTCTATATATGTTGTGTGTCTATGGCATTGAATGTTTGCCATGCATATGTACATGGTAATCTGCCCTGAGTCCCCTGCAGGGTGAGAAGAGCAGAATATAAATACTGTAAATAAATAAATAAATAAACTTATTATGTAGGTCTAAATGGAGAAGATGTAGGGAAATCAATATCTCACTACTTCACCCTGCTTTTTGAGGAAGTGGGAGAAAATGTATACTTTTAAAACATTGGTGAACATTTTCCATTTGTATTGTCGAAGGCTTTCATGGCTGGAATCACTAGGTTCTTGTGGGTTTTTTCGGGCTATAGGGCCATGTTCTAGAGGCATTTTCTCCTGACGTTTCGCCTGCATCTATGGCAAGCATCCTCAGAGGTAGTGAGGTCTGTTGGAATTAGGACAATGGGTTTATATATCTGTGGAATGGCTGGGGTGGGGCAAAGAGCTCTTCTCTTGGAGCTAGGTGTGAATGTTTTAACTGACCACCTTCTTTAGCATTTGAAGGCCTGGCTGAGCCTGGGAAAATCTTTTGTTGAGAGGTGTTAAGATGTGCCTGGTTGTTTCCTCTCTGCTAAAAAACTCTAAAATTACAACAGCAAAACAGCCCTATAGCCCGAAAAAACCCACAAGAACCTATTTTCCATTTGATAAATCCATTTAGCAAACTGGTTGCCGTGGTTCCAAACAAACCAGATTTCCCAAGTCTTCATTTTGATGAAGCCCATGGCAATCCATCCACACAACTGATCCAGGGTTGAAATACGTTCGTTTTTTGTGGTGTAGGAACTTACTCCTATTCTTTTTACATTATTTCTACCTCTGGTACCAGTTACCCCATTAAATAAATCATACCTAGGAAGACATCTTCTTTGTTAACGGATGTATACCTGTTTTTAGAATGCAAGTGAAAATGAATATGGTACAAAAGTGTACGGGGGCGTATTAAATGTGCAGGTTGCTGCAGCATTTGGATAGAACAGACCGAATGCCTGGGAAACTGGTATGGACCAGAAATAGATTGGCTCATCCATCCCGAGCAGAAGGATATTTTTAATATCACTGTATGTTTTATTCATGCGCCTGCCTGTTTCATTTAATGCTTCTTTTGTCAGGTGATGGATGGTTCTGTATGATATTTTCAAAATGGTAGATGGTCTTATATTACTCTCTCTCCTTCTTTTGGCCGCAGTTTTGAGGACTTAAAAGTTGAAAATGAAATGGAAATATTTTAAATTTAGTAAAATAACCTGCTTCCATGAAGTCCATAGGGGTATGGGAAGCTTTTAATTGAAAATCTTAGGCATTGAACCTACATACCGCTATATCAGTGGTTCCCAACCTGTGGTCTGTGGACCATCAGTGGTCCACAAGATCAAAAATATGGTCTGCAGCCTCACCGTTACTACACCGTTGCAACGGGAGCGACTGGTCTTATGAACCTTTATTACAGTAGAGTTTTGCTTATCTATATAAATAAAAAATGTAATGTTCGTTTGTGGTATTCACAGAACTCAAAAACCACTGGACGAATTGACACCAAATTTGGACACAATACACCTAACAACCCAATGTATGTCCTTCACTCATAAAAACACTGAAAAACGCAGCAGAAGGGACTTAAAGCCCCCAAAAACTAAATTGAAAAGCTACATGACAATACAGAAAAAAGGAAGAAAAGGGGATGAA